AATTCAATGTCTTTCCTAAGGTAAGGAGCCAAAGACTGAACACAATATTCCAACTGTGGCCTAACCAATGCCCTATACAATGAAATTATAACCTTTTTAGACTTGTATTCTTAATTTCTATATTTCTATAGATACAACTTAAAATCTTATTTGCCCTACCACTAGCAACAGCACACTACTTGGATGGTTTAAGAGAATGATCAAATATTACACCAATATCTGTTTTTTCATAACACTGTTAAGGTTATTCCCATCCAAGTTATAGTTATAATTCAAATTATGATAACCTACATGCATATCTTACATTTATTATAATTAAAACCCATCACCATTTTTTTTGCCCAACTCACTAAATGATCTAAACCCTTTTGTAAATCAGCAGCATCCTCTTCACAGCTATCAACACCTAAGACCTTAATATCATCTGCAAATTTAAGTAATTTATTGACCATTCATTTATCTATGTTGCTGATGTAAATAAAAAAAAAAAAACAAAGGTCCTAAGACTGAGCCCAGAGATACCCCACTTGTGACATTAATCCAGTTTGACTGAACTTCATTTGTAACCACCTTCTGTTTTTTTCCATCCAATTTGCTAATTTAACTCCTACCTAAAGAAATACAAGCCTTTTATGTGGCACCTTGTCAAATGCTTTTATAAAATCCCGATACACCAAATATAAACTCTTACCATCACCTACATGAGTAGTAACATTTTCAAAGAATGTCAAAAGATTTGTAAGGCAAGATTTTCCCTTAGTGAAACCATGTTGACTATTCAATAAAATTATAAACTTTGTTAAATGACTTTGCAAAGCATCTTTTAACAGACTTTCCAAAAATTTTCCTACAACTGATGTAAAACTAATAGGTCTATAATTACTGGGACAATTTTTATCACCTCCTTTGAAAAGAGGAGTTACATTAGCTAACTTCCAATCCTCTGCCCACTGTTCAAGGACTGACAAAAATAGTAGCAAGGGGCTGACATATCTAATCTTTAACATCCTTCAAAACGCTTGGGGAAATATTATCTGGCCCAGGATCCTTATTGTTCTTTAAAATTCTCAATTTTTTTTTAACCAGCTCAGAATTAATGCACTCATCTTGTTTGATCCTGTTTCCATTTATCAACTGTTCAAGATGTGGAATACTGCTTAAATCTTTGTTAGTAAAAACTGAATAAAAAGAAAAATTTAACAACCAAGTCATCTCATAATTATTAGATACGAGCCTTCCTTTATTATCCCTCAAGGGTCCTACCCCCATCCTGACATTTTGTTTACCCTTAATGTACTTAATTAAAGAAATCTTTACTGTTAAATTTATATTTTCAGCCAACCTTTTCTCATACGTCCTTTTTGATGTCTTAATTTTCTGTTTCACCAACTTTCTTGATCTTCTATAATCTTTTGAGTCTCCTGTCATACCAGTCAATTTAAATTTCTTAATTTTATTTCTTAACCTTTTTGTGAACCAACTTAGTTTTTTACTTGCAGCTACCCTTTTTTTTCTATAAGGAATATGTTTACCTTAAATATTTAAAAAATTAACACTGAATATGCTCCACATCTGATCAGTGTCTCCAAATAATTCAGCTGCCCAACTCACAACAGATAATTCTTGTTGCATTCCTTCAAAATTTGTTTTTTGAAATTTGCAACCAAAATATCATTATTCCTTATCTCCATATGCAACAAAACATTGAACCTAATAATGCAATGATCACTTGTACTCAGATGTTCCCCAACTTCTACTTTCTCAATCATTTCTATATTTGAAGTTAACAATAAATCTAAAATAGCATTGTTTCTCATAAGTTCCTTGACTAATTGGTGAAGAAAACCATCTTAAACAGTTTCCCAAAACCTTTCTCCCTCATGGTTTGACTCTAGCATTTCCCAATCTATATGCCTGAAATTAAAATCTCACATAATTATGACTTCATTAACAGCTGAAATCTTAATCTCATTGTAAAGTTTCTGATTAGTTTTATCAGTATCATTTGGTGGTCTATAACAAATTTCCACTAAATGTCTTTTCACTTTATATCCACTAATAGAAACCCAAGTGGATTCAATCTCCTTGCTATTATTTTTAATATCCTCAACTTCAATAGGATGTAACTCACATTTTACATATAAAGCCACTCCTCCACCCCTCTGTAATACTCTATCCCCAGTAAATAGTCTGTAACCCTGTATTTTTGTCATCAAGATCATTTACATTTAATCATGTTTCAGTTATTCCCATTGTATAAAAATTCTCCATTCTTACCAGTGCTCTAAACTCATCTATTTTATTTCTTCTAGCATTACAATAGTAACAGTTAAGATTACCTTTATAACTACTTCTATACTCATTTCCTATGCTGAACTTTTCTTTGCCTATTTTTTTTAATTTAGTTTTTTCTGGTCCTCACCACTGTTTAGTCCTACTTCAAAACTTCACTTACTGCCGAGTTAACTCTTTCAACACAGGCTCAGTCACTGGGACCGACCTCATAGCCATTTTGTGCTCGTTATAGTTTTCATGCTATAACTTTTAAATTAGTTAGCGAATGTTAACAAAATTTGGTACATTATCAGTAAACATTACAATGCTTTCATATGCAACATATCAATTTTTTTTTTTATGAAGTCTTGAGGTTTGTAAAGCAATGTTTTTCTCATGCCCCTTTTTTCTTTTCGCATGTTGCCTATCTAACATGCTAAGTAATTTTCATTTTAAGATTAATAATACTTTTTATGTATCAAAAAATTTTCAAATTTCACATGCGAAATCTTTATAATGTCCAGATAGTTATCAAATGTTTCTTAAGAAAAAACTATTTTATCTATTATTTTCAGTAATGAATATCTGTATGGGTTTAGTAGATTTGACCGATCTCATAACCACCATAAAAAATTGAATATAAATTGTGCCTCATTTATTCTAGAATGAACACAGATTATAACATGAAAACATAAATGTTTAGACTAAATACCTTAAATCTCATAACATTATACATTTTTGTTATTTTTATTATATTGACCTTTCAACCGTGCCTGGCTAACAGTACAGAAGTTACATTAAAGTGGCTCATGTGCTCTCGTGTTACCATATCAAATAACATAAAACTGGTCTTTGGTCTGTACAAAGT